TCTCATTTATCAATTTCCTGGGACCAGACCTAACAAACTGGTATCAGAGCTTTAGGTTCCAGATTCAGCTTCAGATTTTGGGTCATGGTCAGATATTGGGTTCTTGATGACAATAACAGATTTTGGGTGCTACAAAGAGTGAAAGAAAAGAAAATTTTCGTTGGAGTTCAGTTAGATTTTGAAGAAGAGTTATTTGACCCGTTGGAACTCGTTAAGGGTTTTGAGAAGAAGGTGCAGCATGATAACTATGTTCGTGGCTTTTAACCCGTTGGGATCTATTGAACCTTTTGTGAGATTTGGCCCGTTGGGACCTGTTGAGCCTTTTGTATTCTGATTCGTTGGTGGCTCGTTGTGGTTCGTTGGGACTTTTGTGGTTCGTTGAGATCCGTTGGGACATTTATGGAGAAGGTGGAGCTTGTTTGCTATTCGTCTATTATTTGCCGATGTTGGATACACGCCAAGGTGGAGATTTGTTGAGTGTGTCTTTGTATCCCACATCGGGAGTTTAACAAAGAAATCTCTCATTGTGGTAGTTATAAATATAGTAGACTTAATTGAGTTTAAGTGTGCTAAGGGTACCGGCCCAAGTGCCATATGCACCAATCCAAGAGAGTTTTTAGGGGGCCCACGCCCCAGTCTAAGAGAGGTTTTGGTTTGGCATCAAACCAAAAGAGCAAGTCATGGGCCTTTGGGCTATTAAGCATTTAGTGCTATTTAAGTTCTTTTTTGTTTTCAATTTAGGTGCCTTTTGGACCTGGGAATTATTTCCTAAGGTTTTGTACTCTCTCTTTTGTACTCTCTTTCTGTTATAGTAAATCTGCTACCCTTTCGCCCATGGACGTAGGTCAATTGGACCGAACCACGTAAATTTCGTGTTTCTCTGTTTGATTTATTTATTTTGTTATTGTCATTATTGAGTTGACAATAACCCTATTATTCTCATTTATCAATTTCCTGGGACCAGACCTAACACTTTCATCGACACCATCCAATATGTCGCCAACCTTTTGTCCTTTACATCTTAGTTTTTTATGCCTTTCCGTTTCCATGGAGCATATATAATAGTCTTGAAGACTATAACGACTTCATGACATTTAGAAAGAAAAAGATTTACCAAAAAGGAAAAAGAAAAAGACTTGATGACTTTTCTGCGCTAGAATGATTTTTAAAACAAAAATTGATAAACCTACAACGGTAGGTGCTAGAAAACAAAAATGGAAATCTAATACAAGGAGCAAAGTTTATTACTTCATTTATATGGTACAAGTGTACTAGATCTTCTCTTGATTTTTTATTTTATTTTGAGAATTTAGAATTTTCTCCGAAAATAGGGACTTTAGATCCTAAGGCCTTTGTGTTTGAGGGACTGCAGTCAGTGCCCGGTGATGGAAGGTGAAGAGGTGATTTTTGGTGGGTAATTGAACCGACCTGAATCAGTCTCTTCTAACGTGAGGTGAGGTGTATCCTCTTGTCCGAAGTGAATGGCGGGGCTTCTCCCCTGGGATCACTCCGACGATCAAGTTAGTATGAGAACGAGAGAAAAGCAATAGTGTTGTCAAGTGAACAGTCTGCTTACTTGGTGGTGTGCCCGAGGGGTATTTATAGGGTGGAGTGGATGACAGGACGGAGGTCTTATGCTGGTGGGACCCATGTCCTGCCATTACGGCTCTGTTCCCTGTCAGGCGGTCTGACTCTGACACTGTAGCCACCTGGGTAGGGTGACGGGGAGTCCTGCGTAGTAGCCATTAAGAGCGACAGTGCTTTTCAGATAAAGCACTGGCCCTGGATGATGTCTGGCGGGCTGACATCATCAGCACGCAGCCGAGGCGGAGGTATGAGGTGTAGAGGTCATCTGGACAGTAGACCAGTGGCCCGGCCGAGATCAGGGATCACACTCAGGACAACACTGCGCTCTTGTGAGGGATGAACTGGAATCACCTCGGCCAATCAGGGATGGCCGAGGTGAGCATCCTCAATAAGCCCCCCAAGCCTCGGAAGCTCCGAGTCCTGGAGGTACCGAGGCTTACTGGTACCGAGGTCGTACAGGGTCGGAGGCCCAAGACAGTTCCGTACGATGCGCGAGCGCGACACGTAGGCCTGTCAACTGATAGGACGTGGTGAGAAGAGTGGTCACGTCGTGAAGTAGTGGGACGTTTCGTGCAGAGAGTGTCAGTCGAAAGGACAGGCTATTAATGAAGAGAGAGGGAAGCACGCCTTTTCAAATTCGAGCGTGGCTGCCTTTTCGCCTTCCTGCCGCCTCTTCGGGTTCCCTCTGGATCCTTATAAATAGGGGGTCCTTTTCACCGCATGGCCCATCACTTTATCTTTCAGCCTCAGACTTGCAAAATCCGTGAGCGTAGCCGAGGTCAGTCAGCCCTGCCAGCCGAAATCACAGCCGAAGTCATCCACTTCGTCAGATTCCGTAGTCAACAGTAAGTATTTTTCTTTTCATCTCGTCATTCACACATGGCCAAAATGGCTAAAACCCATAAGGAAACTGTGAAACCGAGCTACCAGGCCGAGGAGGTACCCGACACTTCGGAAGAAACGGCTTCGTCCAGCTCTGGGGGGTCAACGTCTGGTGCTGTGGGGGTTCAGCCGAGGTGGCTACTGCCGAGACAGCCTCGGTGTCGGAGTCATCCGAGATGAGCGAGGGTGGTTCCGAGGTCATCTTTAATAGCGAGCTCGGAACTCAGATGCCCCATGATGAGGGAGTATTGGAGCCAGTAGCTCCGAAAGACGCAGCCAAAATTGACTTCGGCAAGATGCCGAAGTTCAGAAGTCGAGTGGGAGAGGACAGGGCTCAGAAGGTGATAAGAAAGTACCCCTTCAGGCCGGGGTATATCATCACTTCGCCCGAGCAGGATGACTCGGCCGAGAAGCCCCCCATGGGTACTGTGGCAGTCTATATCCAGCAGTTGGAAGCCGGGTTGAGAATGCCGACGTCGATGTTCTTCAGGGACACACTCCGTCACTTCGGCGTGAGGATTACTCAGCTCGTCCCAAACGCGGTCCGCATTCTCGTAGGTTTCGAGATGTTGTGCCGACATCAAGAAGTGACTCCAACTGTGGATCTCTTCCGCCGATTCTATACCCTCAAGGCACATGGGACGGATAAGGGGTGGTTCTACGTCTGCAACCGGAACAACACCATCCCGAAGCTAGTCATCGGCGCCCCCACTTCGATAAAGAATTGGAAGCGTGACTTCATCTTCGTCCCGGCCGGGGACTTCCCATGGGATTTTTGGTGGAGACCCATCAAATCGAAGGCCGACCCTTCGGCGGGGGATCACGAGGAGGAGTCCTTCCAGAAATTGATGGGGTCTGGACTTCGGATCTTCACCTGGGACCACCCTGAGGCCGTGCTGGTCGATGGAGGAATTAGCCGAGCCTTACTCCCTCCTGACAAGTCTCCCTTCTTTTCCATTAAACTTAAGAAGCCCTGTAATTTTTCTTTCATGGCTATTCTTTTACCTCGGCTATGGCAAATAATAATACTCGTTCCTAGTGCAGTGACCAAATTGTCCGACATCATCACGTCGAGCTCAGGGGCCGAGGTGGCCAAGAGGTCGAAAAGGAAGAGCTCGGGCGAGACATCGGCGCCTCCGCCTAAAAAGAAATCGCAAGGGCAGTCTTCCAAGACTTCGGTGGAGAAGACGATCCCCACCACGGCCGCCCAGAGCAGCTCGGCTGCTGCGGCCACAGGGTCCACCTCTTCGGTGCCAGAAGGGGTGCCATTAGGGGTGACCACGGCACTCCCACCTCCACATGGCCGAGGCAAACAATTGAAGGTTTCGGTCAATGCAGTGACGGGGTCTTCACTATGGAACCGTTTCCATAGCCCCCCAGTGTTCTCTGGAAAAGATAAGTCTCATCCCGGCGAGCACTGGTGTCCAGACTGGAAACTTAAGGTTAACGACAGATGCACCAATCCTCGGGTGGCACAGGACTTGGTGATGCAATCAAGTTTGCCGAGGGACGTGGAGTTTACAAGGAAGCTGTCCCCGGCCGAGATGCTTCAAAGCGTTATGGTGACCACGGCCTCCAACACAGCCTTTGTGGCCGAGATGGCACATCGGTACTGTGAGTTGCTTGAGGAGCAGGACACCGGCAAGCTGCAAGATCAGATTGCCAAGTTGAAGAAAAAACTGGTGGTGTCCGAGTCCGAGATGTCCGAGCTTTAGTGACGTCTTCAAGAAGCCGATACTAAGGAGGAGGAGGCCGAGGCCACTACCAACAGTCTGAGGTCGGCTCTGGAGGAAGAGCAGAAGAGGTCAGAGGAGGTGAAGAAGTCCAACGAACAGGCCCTCGAGAGCGCGAGGACATCGGCTGTAGAGGATTTCCGGAGGTCCGAGACCTTTATCGGGGACCTCGGCCAGCTGACAAGGCCGAGCTTCATGCTAGGCTTCACATCGGCCATAGACGAGGCCGCAGCTCATCTACCCTCCGAGGCTTTGGAGTCCTTGAGGAACAGTGCCAACTATAATGAGGACTCCAAGGAGCTGTGCGATCGGATGGCCGAGGGCATCCAAGGTGGAAGGAATTTGGCCGAAATCTAGGACGAGTTCAACAAATGGTTAGCTGAACTCGATGAGGTGTTCGAGGAGGAAGGAGGAGAGGACACTGGGGGTGACGTCGGCGAGGAGGCTGCCGAAGAGCAAGAAGGAGGTGGAGAAGATACTCACCCCGGCGGGGAAGAAGCCGGGGAGGCAACTGGCCAAGAAGGAGCCGAGGCTGAAGCTTAGTCATAGGGGCTTAAGTGAAAATCCGAGGTGGGAGATGATTAGCAATACTCCTGACCTCGGTCTTTTGTATTCTTCTTGTAATGCCTTTTCTTATTTGAATGAAAGATCTATTTCTCCTCACTTTTCTCCTCACTTCGGCTCCTTTAATTTCTTGCTTCGTCCCCTATTTGTCCCCCTTATTTTTTAATAACGGATGTGTAGCATCTTGGTATTGAAAAATAACTAAGCAGCTGAAGTGATAACTTAGTAAAATTTTCAAATATAATACAGTCTGAGGTTCTCGGCGTGCCAAGTTCTCGGCACTAGAGAGCCATCTCGGTAATTCAATTTACAATACCCATTAAGATTATACTCCACAACTCGGTATGGACCTTCCCATTTCGGGCCAAGTTTCCCTTGGTTCTCAACTCGGCTGACTGAGTTTTTTCTTAGCACCATGTCTCCAGACCGGAATCGCCGATGCTTGACACGGGCATGGTAGTAGTGGGTTAGGGTGTTCTTGTAGGAAGCTACCCGAGCTGAGGCAATGTCTCTTTTCTCGTCGATGAGGTCGAGATCCAATTGTCTCTCTTCTCCGTTCACCTCGGATACATAGGCTGTTATCCGAGGACTGGGTGTAAGGATCTCAGCAGGGATGACGGCCTCAGCTCCATAGGTCCAGGAGAAGGGGGTCTCTTGCGTGGATGACCTCGGCGTGGTCCGATATGACCACAGAACACTGGGGAGCTCCTCCACCCAAGATGATCCAGCTCGGTGGAGTCGGGTCTTGAGGCCATGCAAGAGAGTTCGGTTAAAATTTTCTGTCTGACCGTTGGCCTGAGGGTGGCCTACCGAAGTGAAGTGTTGTTTGATGCCGAGGTTCTCGCACCAAGTCTTGAATGGATTCTCGGAAAACTGTCTCCCGTTGTCCGAGATGATGATCTAAGGTATGCCGAAGCGGCAGACAATGCATTTCCAAAAGAATTTTTGAATGGCCAGCCCTGTGATGGTCCGTAGAGGCTCGGCCTCGACCCACTTAGTGAAGTAGTCCACAGCGGTCACCAGAAAGGTATAGCCCCCGACCGCTTTAGGGAAGGGACCGATGATGTCTGTCCCCCATTGCTCAAACGGCCAGGGTGAGGTGATTGGAACCATGAAGTTCGAGGGTTGGTGAAGCTCAGGGGCGTGGACTTAGCAGGATGGGCAGCTGAGAACAAGATTTTGAGCATCTTGTCGAACGGAAGGCCAGAAGTACCCAAGAAATAAGGTCTTCCTGGCTAACATCCTGTGGCCGACGTGAGCCCCACACAGGCCTTCGTGTATCTCATGGAGGACCTGGCGTCCTGCCTCGGGTGTAACGCACTTCAGCCATGGGCCAAGGTATGAGCGTTTATACATTTCTCCATCGCGGAGCGCGTACCGAGCAGATTTGCGTTGTATCTTTCTCGCCTCGACTCGGTCCTCGGGGAGGACTCCCTGCCCTAAGAAAAGGATGAACGGGCTCATCCATGTTTCTCCCGTGTTCACAGGGCAGGCCAACTCTTCCATGTATCCCGACTCGCTCAACACTTCCACCAAAACGGTCTTGTTGAGGTCAGAAAATGAGGTGGAAGCCAACCGGGATAAGGCGTCGGCCCGCCTATTCTGGGAGCGGGGGATTCTTTGGATTTCGAAAGACTCCAAGTACGCGATGAGTTGGTGGACTTTGGATAGATACCGTTGTATGGTTTCATCCTTGGCCTCATACTCACCAAGGACTTGGCATACTACGAGTTGGGAGTCGCTGCGGACGTGGATCCGCTGTGCACCGAGCCTGCGGGCTAGCTGGAGTCCCGCGATTAAGACCTCATAATCGGCTTCATTGTTGGTGGCTGGGAAGTCAAAGCGGAGGGCATACGAGCATACTTCTCCCTGGGGGCCCTCCAGGAGCAGTCCTGCTCCACTGCCATCCCCGTTGGAGGATCCGTCTACGTATAACGTCCACGAATGTGGGGTGGACACTTCGGCAATTGCGGAGGTGGACTCCCGACCTTCCGTGAAGGTGAGCTCGGCGAGAAAATCAGCTAAGGCTTGAGCTTTTATGGCGGTGCGCGACTCATACGACAAGTCATACTCCCCCAATTCGACAGCCCACTTGGTGAGGCGGCCGGAGGCCTCGGGCCGCACCAGTATCTGCCGAATTGGCTGATCTGTCCTAACGAAAATGGGGTGAGTTAGGAAGTATGGTTTCAGCCGCCGAGCTGCGTGGACCAACCCCAGCACGAGTTTTTCGACCTGGGTATACCGAGTCTCCGGCCCACAGAGGGCCCGGCTGACGTAGTAGACCGGCACTTGGGTACCCTCATCTCGGATGAGCACTGCGCTGACAGCTTCGTCGGCGGCAGAGAGGTAGAGGTACAACCTTTCTCCAGGCCGAGGTGAAGCAAGGGTGGGCAAGTGGTGCAGATATTGCTTCAACTTGTCGAAGGCGGCCTGGCACTCTTCAGTCCAGGCAAACTGATCGGCCTTCTTGAGCACCTTGAAGATGGGCAAAGCTTTCTCAGCAGATTGGGATAGGAAGCGGTTCAGCGCGGCTAGGCGTCCATTCAGCCTTTGGACTTCTCGGAGGTTCCGAGGTGGGGACATGTCTTGAATGGCCTTAACCTTGTCGGGGTTGGCTTCGATTCCCCGGTGGGAAACCAAATACCCCAAGAATTTTTCTGAGGTGACGCCGAAGACGGACTTCTTGGGGTTTAACTTCATTCTCGAATCTCGTAGGACGCTGAAAACCTACCTCACATCCGACAAGAAGGCCGAAGTGGTTAAACTTTTGACGAGAATATCGTCCACATAGGCCTCCACATTTCGGCCGATCTGATTTTTAAAGAGGCGGTTGATCAACCTTTGATAGGTCGCCCCGGCGTTTTTAAACCCGAACGGCATGGTGGTGTAACAGTAGACACCCTGGTCGGTGTAGAACGCCGTTTTCTCTTGGTCCTCCTCACTCATTCCTATTTGATGATACCCTTTGAAGGCATCTAGGAAGCAGAGGATCTCATGCCCCATCGCCGAATCGACTAGGGAGTCTATCCTTGGCAGAGGGTAGCAATTTTTGGGGCAGGCCTTGTTAAGGTCGATGAAGTCGACACACATCCTCCATCCACCGGTATCCTTTTTGACCATGACAGGGTTGGAAAGCCAGGTGGGGTACTGAACCTCATGGATCATCTTAGCGGGTAAGAGCTTGTCGACCTCATCGGATATGGCCTTGCTGCGTTCGGGGCCGAAGTGCCTGCGCTTCTGTTTCACAGGGCGGGCCTGCGGATTGACGTTGAGCTGGTGAGTCATGAGCTCAGGTGGCACTCCGACCACTTCATCAGCGGACCATGCGAAGACGTCCCGGTGGTCCTTTATCAAGTGAATCATCTCTTCCTTCAGAGACGAAGGGAGTCCGGCCCCCACTCGGACCACTTGGTCAGGTCTTGCCTCATCCAAGACCACCTGCTCCACTTCATCCCCAGGTTCAAGCCTGCTAGGCTTCCTTGCCTTCTGGGGATTGAGGCTGTCTATGGAGAGGACGGCTGGCCTCTTCTCCTCGGCCCTTGATGCAGTCCGGGGAGTGACCGTGGACTGGATGGTGGCGAGGTAGCATTCTCGGGCGGCGTTCACATCGCTGCTCACCTCGACCACCCCCGCAGGAGTTGGGAACTTGAAGCTCAGGTGGTAGGTAGAGTATACAACTCTCAAGGCGTTGAGCGTAGGCCGACCTATCAGCATGTTGTAAGGTGAGTCTGCTTTGACGACCGCAAAGTTAGCGGGTACAGTTCGGCAGCAGGGATGACGTCCGATAGTCACCATCAGGGACACCATACCTTCTGGGTGGACCACGTGTCCCCCGAAGCCAACGAGGGGAGTTCTGACCGGAGTGAGTTGTTCCCTGGTCAGTTTCAAACTTTCGAAAGTTCGGTAGTACAAGACGTCTACCGAGCTTACGGGGTCAACATAGACCTTTTTGACTATGTAGTTGTTGGTGAGGACCTCGATCACGAGAGTTTCGTGATTGCTGGAGGCCGCAGGAACTGGGTCAGTGGGACCATAGGTTATGACTTCGGACAGCCGAGAGCTCGGCTCGGCCACCTCCATCCCGGCCTGGCGGTAGGTCCGCTTCCGGGAGTTCTGGCTGTCTCCTCCCGTTGGTCTTCCCGCGATGGTATTGATCACCCCGGCGATGTTGGGGCCGTAGCCCGGTGATCCATCGTGTGGAGGCTGCTTGTCCTCCCTACGGTCTTCGGGACCTCGGTAATGCATGTTCGTGTTCCGCCTGTCGTCTCGGCGGGGGCCCCGGTTCTCCCGGTGGGAGACGATTCGGTTGAAGCCTCCATCCTTGCGGACGAATTGCTTCAGGTACCCCTGCCGGATCAAGTTCTCGATCTCCCGCTTCAGATCATTGCAGTCTTCAGTCTCGTGCCCAACATCCCGATGGTAGGCGCAGTAGAGGTTTGAGTTCCTCTTATCTCTCCTCCTCGGAATCTCAGGAGAAGTTCGGCCGAGGTAATTCTGCCTCATCACGCCAGGACATGAGTCCGGCTGGAGTTGAGTGGTGTAAGCTCGGCGTCCGAGGTGGACGACCTGCTTTTGACGATCCGATTAAAGACACTTCGGCGGTCTCGGAACTGACTCGACGATCCGCTGGGGCCTTGTTCGGCCCGGCCGGCATCCTTTTTCCTTCGGGGATCTTGCCCGGCACGAGTGGCTTGAGCCTCCCGCTTCATGCGGTTTAGGTCTTCACTTCGGATTCCCTGGTCTACTTGATCCCAGAGTTCCCGAAGTGTGCGGGGGTAATCTCGGTGTATCTCGGTATTGAAGATTCCCGCGATCAGCCCATTGGTGAAGGCAGCTATGGTTACCTGCTCATTCTGATCAGGTATCTGCACGTTCTCCTCATTGAACCTCTGCACGTATGAGCGCAGTGACTCGCCGGGAGCTTGCTGCAGGTTCAAGAGGTAAGCTGAAGTCTTCGTAATTGGGCGAAACGATACAAAGCGGTGGATGAACCGATCTATCAACTCGTCTAACGAGGAAATACTCCTCGGTTCTAGACCCCAGAACCACTTTCGGGCCGTCCCCTGTAGGAAGATGGGGAAAGCTCGGCAAATTACTGCGTCGGGGACGCAGTAGAGCCGAAATGCAGAGAGGAAGGCGCGGAGGTGATTCTCGGGGTCACCTCGGCCATCGTACGAACGTAGGGCGGGAAGTTTGAAATTTTGGGGGACCATCTCCCCATTGATATCATCCGTGAAGGGCGGAGCTCTCAGGTATTCGGCTGCTAAGCCTCCGGGATGCCGAGGTGTGTCCTCAACTCGTTTTCCCAGAAGACCCCGGGAAAACGCCCGGGAAATGGAAGCGATTTTAGATGTCGCCTTGGAAGAGGCGTGTCTGGAAGTGCTCCGAGAGAGGTGCCCCTCATCGGAGTCTTCGCCGGAAGGCACTTCAGGGGACTTCGTCGGTCTCCTTTTGGAGGATTCAGTTTTTTCCTTCCCCTGCCTCTGGAAGTACCTCCCCAGTTTTTCGAAGATGTTTGGATTATCAGCCACGAACTCGGCCATCTTGGCGATGGCGTCTTCGTTGTTGAGCTGGGTCCTTTGGGACCCTTGTTCTTCAGAAATACGATCCTGCTGGTCTCCCGATGCTTGCCCAGCCCCGGTCGAGGGGACTCTTCCACTTCTGGAGCGCGTGGATCTCATTTTAGCAGTAATCTCGTTCCCACAGACGGCGCCAGTTGAAGAGGTGATTTTTGGTGGGTAATTGAACCGACCTGAATCAGTCTCTTCTAACGTGAGGTGAGGTGTATCCTCTTGTCCGAAGTGAATGGCGGGGCTTCTCCCTTGGGATCACTCCGACGATCAAGTTAGTATGAGAACGAGAGAAAAAAAATAGTGTTGTCAAATGAACAGTCTGCTTACTTGGTGGTGTGCCCGAGGGGTATTTATAGGGTGGAGTGGATGACAGGACGGAGGTCTTATGCTGGTGGGACCCATGTCCTGCCATTACGGCTCTGTTCTCTGTCAGGCGGTCTGACTCTGACACTGTAGCCGCCTGGGTAGGGTGACGAGGAGTCCTGCGTAGTAGTCATTAAGAGCGACAGTGCTTTTCAGATAAAGTACTGGCCCTGTATGATGTCTGGCGGGCTGACATCATCAGCACGCAGCCGAGGCGAAGGTATGAGGTGTAGAGGTCATCAGGGCAGTAGACCAGGGGCCCGGCCGAGATCAGAGATCACACTCAGGACAAGACTGCGCTCTTGTGAGGGATGAACTGGAATCACCTCGGCCAATCAGGGATGGCCGAGGTGAGCATCCTCAGAAGGCGTTTAGAAAATGTTCGCCAATCAGTCGGTACCGTATACGTGGGCAGCTCATGCACCAGTAAAGACGGTATGATCCTAGAAAGTGAAAGCAAATAAATTGATTTCATCAGAGGAGCTATAGTCTTCTAGTATACTTGACGTGGACACGGTGGGTTCATACTTTGATCAAAGTTGGCAATAGGACACCAAATCGTAGAATTTTTACCGGTACTGCTATTGAGCTATGTTGCTTCTGAACTCAAAAAAAAAAAGTTAGTTTGCTTCTAGAAGGGGTGTACGCAGAGACCTACCAATTCAAAATCAGGAGGCACGAAAAGCAACTTTAAGTCTTTGACGTGTATGGTGGGGAAATCGGATACAATTATGTGATTGTTGTATATTATACATGATTTTATGTATATTTATATTTTTTTTGTTGTATATCTAAATTTTATTCTTGTACATTAATCGTAACAGCAACGACTCTCAATTCTCACATATGAACTTCAATCTACTGTATTCGCAAATTGTCATTTTTCTAACAAGAAGTTTAGCTATTTCAAAATTCTTTTGGGTAATTGCCTCCTACGGTAATCGTACATATTCCACCAGCTGAATTTATTTGGTATTTATTTAATTCAATTATATGCAATAATGAAAATGTAGAGACGCATAGTTAAACGTATGCTCTTGACAAACTTCATATGATTGCATTAGTGTTTAGTTGGCCTAGTCCATTTCTTAACTTGTACAGAGGGGCGAGACAGCCCACAAAATTGCTGTGATTTGCGATATAAATTTTTTTAAAAAACGAGATTCATGAGTATACAAAAGAAGTAAATAATAGGTAAGGTCTCAGTGGGGGTGTGGCAGGCATATGGTAGAACGATTTTGACTCTTAATGCCTATTAATATACAAATATTCCTAATTGGCTTTTGGAAGTTTGCATGCAGAAGAGTCAGATCGGATAGGAGTCTCACAAGTTTTATTTTATTCTATTTTGAGACAAAATATTTATTTTAATTTTCATGACACTATATTCTAATTCAGTTGTACTACATTTAAACTTTTGTTATATTATATTCTGAAGAAAGAAACGAGAAGATCTTGAGCCATGGAAATTTGAGACGAGTTTAAATATATTAATTTCTTAAGGAATTCGATAGCATAAAAGTTTCTGAACCTCAACACATGAGTGATAGATACAGGATTTGAAAGCTGTTGATCATGCTGTCAATTTTTTGGTTTTTCTTGCTTGGAGAAAAATCCCAATATTCAAGCACGCCTTTGTTGGCCAGAATTGCTCTACAATCTCAGTTCCTTACAAAATTTCTTCTACCAGCTTGACGACCCCGGCAATGCAACCAAAAGAAAGAATGTGACGTCTAAGGTAGATGAGACTAGTACAATTACTTC